AGTTCAGTCTTCTGCATATGGATACCCAGTTTTCCCAGCGATGCTTGTTAGAGGAGTGCTTTCCTGACATGTATTTTTGGCTTCTTTGTCCAGAGCCAGATCGATACAGTTCAATGGGTTTGCTTGTTCAGTATGTATTATTTTTGTTGCTATGACTCTGTGGTCTAAGGTAAAACCAGGTATTGTGATGCCTCCAGCCACGCTCATTTGGCTTAAGATTTCTGTGGTTAGCCTGTTTCTTTTTTGTTTTCTGTTTTCATCTGAGTTTTAGGATTGTTTTTTTCAATTTTTGGAGAAGAACATCATTGGAATGGTGGGAGTCTCACTGAGTCTGTAGGTCACTTTGGTAATATGATCATTTTGACAATTCTGCCAATCCATGAGCATGTGAGGTCTTTCTTCTCTGGCAGTTTCTTCTTTATTTTCTTCAAGATGTTGTAATTTTCAGGCTGGGCATAGTGGCACACACCTGTAATCCTAGCACTTGGGAGGCTGAGGCAGGAGGATCGCTATGACTTTGAAGCCAACCTGGGCTACAAAGTTAGTTCAAGGATAGCTTGAACTGTATAGTGAGACCCTGTCTCAGAAAGACAACAAAAGAAAACACCACCAAAATATTTTGTATTTTTCCTTGTAGAGGACTGTCACTTCTTTGGTTAGGTTGATTCTTAAGTATTTTATTTTTGTTTCTGAAGCTATTGTTTATGCAATTTTTCTTGTTTTTTTTTTTTTTTTCTCAGCTAGCTCATTATTAGTGTATAGAAAAGGTATTGCTTTGATAATGCTATTTTTGTAACTTGCTAATTTGCAGAATTTGTTTGCACTGCAAGTCTTTCGGTGCATTCTTCAGGGTTTTCTAGTATAAGGATCAGATCATCTTCAGATAAGGATAATTTGACCTTTTGCTTTCTTATTCATATCCTTTTTATTTCTTTCTCTTGCTTAATTGCTCTAGTTAAAATTTCAGGTACTCTATTGAATAGAGGAAATACTTTCACTTTTTCCCCACTGAGAATGATTTTGGTTGTGGGATTGTTGCTTATGTCATTTACTGTATTGAGGAATGATCCTCTGATACCTAGGTTTCTTCAGGGCTTTGATTATGAAAGCATGTTTTTTTTTTTTTTTTTTTTTTTTTTGTATTTTAGTACAGGGTCTACAGGGTCTACAGGGTCTCACTACATAGATTGGACTCTTAGTGATCTGGCTGTGTTCAGCCTCCCAAGAGCTGGGATTACCGGTGTGCACCACCGCGCCCAGTCTCAATTGCTGTCTCAGTGCGCCCCGGGGTTGGGGCCAGCATAGCACTCGGAGGATAGAACCCAGCTGCTGTGTCTGCCTAAGCAGGTGCTTTAATCTGCTGAGCTATTTGGCCATCCGCAAGTTGACTTTTGTTGAAGATTTTTTTCTCCATCGAGATGATTGTGTGATTTTTATCCTTGATTCTATTTATGTGGTGAATTATATTTATTGATTCATGTGCATTAAATTATCCTTGTATCCCTAGAATGAAATCAACTTGATCATTGTAAATGATCTTTTTAATGTGTTGTAGGAGTCAGTGAATATTTTATTGAGGATTTTTGCAACAATGTTCATCAAAGATACTGGTGTATAGTTTCCTTTTTATTTTGTGTCTGTTTTGGGTATCAGGGTGATGTTGGTTTCATAGAATGATTTTGAAAGTATTCTTTTCCTTTCTATTTCATTGAATAATCTAAACATTGGAGGGCTGGCGAGATAGCTCAGCAGTCTAAAGCGCCTGCTGAGGCAGGCTTAGGCAAGCATGCAGGGACCGCGGTTGGATCCCTGGTACCACATGCTGCACCAGCCCCGCCCCCAGGGTGGGCTGAGCCAGTCCCCCCAAAGCTCTCAAAAAACGAACAAACAAAAAACCCCACAAAACATTGGAGTTCGTTCTTCTTTAAAGGTCTGGTGAAATTTGGCAGTGAATCTGTTCAGTCCTGAGATTTTGTTATGAGTCTTATTACTGCTTCGATCCCATTGCTTAGTATTCCATTTAGGTTTTCTCTTATGTCTACCTGGTTCAATTTTGGTAAGTCTTATATATCTAAACATTTGTCTGTTTCTTTTAGATTCTTCAGTTTATCAGAGTACATGTTTTAAAACAATGCTAATGAATCTCTGGATTTCAGTAGCTTCTGTTGTAGCAATCCTCTTTCAGCTCTAACCATGCTGACTTGAGGACATCACTTGCTTTTGGCTAAAGATTTATACATCTTGTTTATCCTTTCAAAGAACCAACTCTTGTTTCATTGATTTTGTGTATCATTCTTCTCATCTGTATTTCATTAAGTTCAGCTATGATCTCTATTATATCCTTCCTGCTATTCGGTTTGGTTTTGGCTTATTCTATTGTGCCAATACCTGGACATGCATCATTGAGTTATTTATTTGAGATCTCTCCAAGTTTTGGATGCAAGAACTCAAAGCTGTAATCTGCCTTCTTAAAACTGCCTTTGCTTTGTCCCATAGATTCTAGAATGTTAGATTTCTATTTTCATCTGATTCTAGGAATTTAAAATTGTTCTCCTGATTTATTCAGTGACGCACTGATCTTTCCCAATGAGTTGCTTTATCTCGATGTGTCTGCATGGCTTCTGTAGTGTCCTTGCTGACACCCAGTGTCATACCATTATGATCTGATAAGATGAAAAAACTGATTTCAATTCCTTATATTTGTTGTGACTTGCTTTATGATCTGAAATATGGCCGGTGCTCTGCAGTTGGATGCAACGTGCTGTAGACACCTGGCAGGTCCGTTTGATCAGTGGTGTGACTTAACTCTGATGTTGATGACTTTTTTGGATGACCTGTTCACTGGCAAGAGAACCTCTGTGTCCTTTATGTCCAATAATGCTTGTTTTATGAAATTTGGCACGCTGATGCTTGGTGTGCACACATTTACGACTGTCACATCTACTGGGCGTACCGTTTCCGTCACCAGTGTGCAGTGGAGTCGTCTCTTCTGGCTGTGTCTTGAAGTCTGTGTTTGGGCCTGAGCACAACAGCTGCTTCTGCTTGCTTTTGGGCTCCATTTGTGTGGAGCCTTGTTTTCCATCCTTTCAGTTTCAGGCTCTGTGTATCTTTGCTCCTGAGGTACTTTTATTTGACAGGCTTCAAATAGTTCATAGTTATTTTTTAATCCAGTCTCCTACTCTGTGTCTGTCTGTCTGTCTGTCTGTCTGTCTGTCGGTCTGTCTGTCTGTTTATTGAGGCACGGGCTTGCCATATAGTTCAGGCTGGCCTTGAACTCAAGGTGATTCTCTTGCATCAGCCTCCTGAGTTCTGGGATCACAGGGGTGCACCACCATTCCTGACTCAGTCTCTGTGTTTTAATTGGAGAATTAAAACCATTTACAGGGGCTGGGGAGATGGCTCAGTGGAATAAGCACTTCCCTGGCAAGCGCAAGGGCCTGAGTTCAATCCCCGGTTCTGCAAAAACAAAAACAAACCCATTTACACTCAGAGCTGTTATAGGAAGCACCAATCCCTGCCATTTCACTCTCCAATGTCTGGTTCTTCCTAAGCGCTCTGTAGCTCATGTTTGTCCCATTCCCTTCCGTACCTGCGGCAACGCGTGTGGCCGTGCCTTTCTGGTGATTGTGGTCATCTTGGAAGGTCTTCCTTTGACTTTTAATTTAGATCCTGGCTTTGCTGGACACAGTAATCTAGGTGGACAGTTATTTCTGTTCAGGGTTTGGAATTCCTTTCTGGACTTCAGCGTCTGTGAAGAGAGGTCTGCTGCCACTCTGCCGGAGTTGCTTCCATATGCAGCCGGGCGGTCTCTACCAAGCTTTCTACATCCTCTCCTGGTGCTGTGGTCCTGGCCTTCTGGCTGCAGTGTGACACAGGGTCATTCTTTCCTTGTGGTGCCTGCTTAGGGCTCTAAGTGACTTGTATACCCGGATGTCCACATCTTTCCTAGGTTTGGAATATTTTCTAGCATGATCTCATTGACTAGATTTTTCTGGCTGTTAGTCTGAACCTAAAGCGCAGTCAGGTTATGTAAATAAGTCACACGTTTGGCTTTAACCTGTATCCCATAGTTCTTGGCTGCTTGGTTTATAATTTATTTATTCATTTTTTTATGTGTTTGAGCATGGTAATTCATCACCTCGATTTTCAAGTCCTGAGTTTCTCTTCAGACTTGTGCTCTTGGTGAGGCTTCTGGGTGGGTTTTCTGACTGGCTTCTTGTGCCTTCCATTTCCGAGATTGCCCTTTGGCTCTCAGAGCCTCTGGCTCTCGTCCACTGCTACTTTATGTCCTGCATTGTCTTTCTTAATTCTCTCAGGTGTTTATTTGTATCTTTGAAGTTATTAATCATTTTAAAAGCAAACAGAAAGCAAAGGAGCCCCCAAATTCCCTTGCACAGAGGAAGTGGGGGATAAGGGAATCCTGGTTTGGGGACCCACCAGCACCTGCAGTGTGGGGCTCTAGTGACACAGGACTTCCAAGTGGCGTAGGGACTATCACTGCTCCCGATCTGGTAGACGTCCGCCCATGCGCTGAGGTTGTGTTTCCCCAAATCGAAGCATGAATTCTGAAAAGCAACAGAGGTTGAGAGTAGGACATTTTATTACTCATTTTATTGAGACAGCTCTTGTCTGAGGGAGACAGGAGGGGACCCGGAGAGTGGGTTACCCATGAGCCCACTTCCCATGGGAAGTTTTATAAAGCAAAATCATGAGGTGGGTACAAGGTAGAACAGAACTGCGGTCAAGCAACGTGATTACGTGTTGCAATCCCTTGGGTGATGCTGACGCAGAGGGAAGCAGGCCACATAGCGAGTGCGTGTGGACGGGACAAGGACCTTCCCTGGAAGGGAAGGGTTAGGAGGTCCCAGCCCCCCACCCGGGGGACTGGTGCGCATTGGCAGTATCGGTCACTATTGTCTGTCCCTCGGGAGCCATGTAGGTGTGGTCATTCCATCTTTGTCTTGAGGCCTGGCCTTCAAAGAATGCGCCTCCACCCCCAGGTGTTCTTGTCCTCTGCACTGATTGCTTCGAGGCCTCGCCCTGCCTGACCACCTATAATACTTCTACCCAGCTTTGCTAATGGCCTGACACCTAACTTAAGAGATATTATCTGTATTTTATTTGCCCTCTATCTACACATTGGGTTTCTGATGTAAGAGAGGCCGTGCAGCATGTCTGCTTGGGTCTGACTTACTTCCCTCAGGTACAGGGACAGTGAGTCACACCTGGGTCTGTCTGTCTCCACACCCGTGTGGCGGTGGCTGCTGCGTGGATGCTGAGTCCGGGCCCAGCTTTCGGCCTGGGCAGGGTCAGCCAGGGACGTGCTGTCTGCCTCGGGTGCACTCCAGGACTGCCAGTGTTGGTGTCTTCCACACACCCTGGAGCACCATTGTCCTCTGCCAGCAGGATGACCCTGGGGCCCCTAAGGTGCCCAGAGCCTCTGTGTATGTCCCTGGGAGGTGCCAAATGTCCCAGCCAAGTGCTCATGCCGGCAGCGGGAAAAGCAAATGTTCGCTCCATCCTGTGGTTGAAGGGGACAGTGAGATGAACCACACAATCCGCAGGGCTTGAGGCCAGTATTTCACAACCAGCCTCCTCACACACCACCCAGGGTGGCCCTGGATTGCTACCATAGTGGGTGGCTTTGACTACTGTTGAACTCTCTGCAGCCTGCTTGAACATCTCAGGTCTGTGACCAGCCCCCGCCTCCCACAGCTTTTGCCTGTGGCTGTTTCCCACTCAGTCACTATGGCAGGGGTCCCCAGGGACTCTGAGCTACTGAGCTTGGTCTCCTCCTTCAGGATGCACCTGGCAGGACAACAGACTTCTACTGCTTCCTGTGTGACCCAGAAGTCGTTGGGAGCAGTGTTCGTCCTGGGTGACTGAAGTGTGGCTGGTCTGTGACTGCTGACCCCCAGAACAGCTCACTCTCACACAAGCAGCCCTTCCTCAGAGGGACGCCTTCCTGGTTTACCACTCTGAGGTGGCTGTGCACCCTGGGATTGCCCCTCCAAAGGGAGGCAGCCTGTCGCTCTCAGAGTCACAGCACACACTGACTCACAGCTGGCTCTGCTGGGGGCCAGCTCTGTGCCTGTCGTTTGTCCCTGGGGCTGCCAGCCTTCCCTAGGCCTCCTCCAGTGCTTGAGGAGAAGGGGTTCCCTCCCTGGCAGCAGCCGGGGCTGTCATCTCCACTACTACTGTCTTTGCTCTGCTTTGTTAGATCTTTCTTGAGTTTTCTTACTTATTTTAAAAGTATTTTTATTAGTGCACATTTGCAGCGCCTTCCCTGTGTGGAGGTGGAGTGCGCTCACAGCGCACCTTAACTCCTGGTACCCTCTCCCTCCCTGCTCCCTCCCTCTCCTGGCTGCCTTCCCCTTTGAGAAAGCTCTCTCTCCCTGCTTCCTGCCATCTAGCCTTTACTCCACTCTTTACCTATACGCTGCCTTTCTCAGGAGAGAAACCGTGTGGTGTGGAAGCGTGTGTGTCTGCTTTACGTCAGTCAGCACTGAGGCCTCAAGGTGCACCCATTTTTCTACAAATGACTCAAATTCATCCTTCTTTATGGCAGAGTAGTGCCCCATACTACACAAGCGCGCCTTTTCATCCATCCATCTGCTGATGGACGACGGGGTGGTGGCAAGACTTAGCCACTGTGAATTGCACTGCTATGAACATGGCCCACTGTCATGTGATGGTTGGTAGAACTGGCCGGAGGCAGCTGGGCCAAGTGAAATTTCTGGGGTTTTGATGTTTGTTTATGTTTATTTTGTGTTTGTGTGTGTGTGTGTGTGTGTGTGTGTGTGTGGTGCCAGGGATTGAACTTGAGACTTCATACTTGCCAGGCAGGTGCTTGTGCCATTGAGCTGCATGCCTGGCCTTTAGTCCTCTTTAAAAAAAAACTAGGAAAAAAGTGCCTGCATTATCAGGTTAAGCTTCAAGGGCGCGACACTGGTGCCAGGCGGTGGGTCTGCCTGTGGGGTTCAAGACCCCCTGAGCCCCGTTTCCCCGCAGGATGCAGCCCGTGGGACGTGCGATCTCCTCTGCCCGTTCCTCCCAGAGGTTGTGCGCAGCGGCGCTCACGTTGTGCACGCTGATGACGGCTGTTTCTGCCTTCACCGCTCCACCCGAAGGGCACTCAGGTGAGACTTGAAGGCCGGCCGGCCGCGGGGTCTCGGAGGAAGTCGCTTCTCTCATGGGGTTTCCTAGTCAAGAGTGCAGAACAGGGTCCCGATAGCCAGGTCTGTGTCACTGCTTGGGCAGATGCCAGCCCTCGCTCATCCAGCAAACTGAAGAATTTGCCCTTCACAAGCAGAGCGAGGGGTCAGATGCACAGTCTGTCGGCTCTCAGGTTTTCTGTTTGAATTCAGCAGGGATCCATTTTCAAGACAAATAAGTTTAAAGAAAAATAGGCCGACATTTAAATCACTTCTTTTTGGCTACCTGTGAAGCTATCTGAACCCTTTGGACAGAGTGTGAATTAGAATCCACAGGCGCCCTGACTTTGTCATTTGAGAATGTTGAACTTGAGGCAGCAGGTGTTCTACCTGCTTATAATAGAATTCAGAACAGGACGTGGGACCCCATTGCTGGAGGGACTCTCAGGTGCCCCAGTGCAGGTCACTGTGGGACACTGGCATTGCTTGCCACTGCTCCACGTCACTGTCCAGAACTAGGCCAGGCTGAAGCCTGGGAGGGCTCGGGGCTCTGGGCAGGTTTGGGATCTGAAGCCGGACCATCTCCTCTCTGCCTTCCAGGAGCCACAGGCAACTGCTCGTTTCGTGGCAAGTTTTTAAAACAGGAATTCAGGCAGGAGGGCGAGCCTGTGGTTCTGAGGTGCCCGCTGGCGTACTTTGGCTCAGGGCCAATTGGCAGCCCTGGCCCCCACCAGCTCGTCACCTGGCGTGGAAACAGCTCTTCTCAGCTGATCGCGATGGGAGAGCCACGGGTGCGGGTCAAGGACGGTGTCCTTTGGATTGTGCCAGCCCTGCGCAATGACTCGGGGACCTACATCTGCAGCGTCAGGTAGGTCCCGCGGGTGAGGGCGGGAGGGCTACAGGTAGAATGGACACCTGGGATGCTTTCCAGCAGTGGTTTGGCTTTCAGAATCCAGTGCACGGTGAGAATCTGTTTTTTTTCCCAGAGACCACTGGGGTCCAACTTTGAGTCAATTTCTTAGTAGCTGCACAGGTTGGGAACCCCTCAGAGTTGGAGAGTGAATGAAATGATACGCATGAAGCCCTCAGCTCAGGCTCCAGCAGGCCCGAACCTCACTGTACCTTGCTTCCTCGAGGACTGTACTTTAAGTTTGCGCTATCCTTAGTAAAATTTGTCCACTTGCATTTCATCAACTTGTAGTGAGATTATGCACTTTCAAGGCGTGAGTCAACTTTCTGCATTTCTTTGTGCATAGAACGTTTGCTCGCCTGCTTTTCTGTTTTTGAAATGAGATATGAACTATAACAGATGCTGGCCTTCTCTATTTGAGTCAGTTCTTTTTACTTTCAGGTAGCAGCTTGGGTTATACCTTTTGTACTTACAGTTTTCCTATCCAGTCTCTTCTTTGGATATATATTGTTGCATGCTTTACGCATTTTGTTGCGTAGGTGAATTTTATCCTATGAGAAAGTGCACCCACTTTGTCTCTTCCTGTGTCTCAGCCAGAGCCAAGATAGTTCTATTGTGTTTGTCTGTCTTATTTTGTTTGATCTTTCCGGTGCTGGCCTGGAGCCCGGGGCTGGGCGCGTGCTGAGGCGCCGTCTGTCACTGAGCCGCATCCCAGCCCCTTGCCTCTCTACCCTGAAGTTTAGCGTGGAGTCTGCCTCTGTCCTCGCGCCCACTTGTGCATGTCCTCAGCAAGGCTGTGCCTCTGACATTACCCCAGCGCTGAGGTCCTGCAGGACTGCGGCACTGAGACAGAGAGGAGGCCAGCAAAGAAAATTAAAAGCTAAACAAACCTAGCAAGCTACTTTGCCCACACGGAACTCCACAAATTTTTTAGACGCCGTTTGGTTCCCAGCAGTTTTTGACTTCATTTGGTAAATGACTCCCAAGGGAGGCAAAGGGCATTTTTCCTTTTATGGACGCGATCTCTCCATGTGTGTGTGGCCCCTGGGACCGTGAAATTGGAGCACACTGGGACAGCGATCAGGATGCTCAGACCTTGGAGGGCGCTAGCCCTTGCAAGAGGACACGGGGTTTCTCTGTGGCCCTTGCTGGCCCATGAAGAAGCTCTAGTGAGACGCGCATGGTGTGGCTCTGCTCCGGCACAGCACTGTGACATGATGCTTCAGTACCAAAGGGATGAAGAGGGGAAGGAGTGCAGGACTAAGCAAAGGAACACAGACGCAGCGCACACACATAGGGAGTGGGAGAATGGCCCTGAGCGTTGCCTTCATGTCAGTGTTCATTATTGTCTTTTTTCCTTCTAAATCAGAGATGCTTCTCACTGTGAAGAGATAGCCATGGAGCTCCAGATTTTGGAGGATGCGGAGGCTTCCCTGCCGCTTGTGACCTACGCGCAGACGCTCACCTTGGGAACTGACGGCATGCTCGTGTGTGCAGACACGCTGGATTTCTCCGGGGACAAAGACAGCATGCATGTTCGGTGGTACAGGGTGCGTCTTCCAAATGGGCCACTTCATTCACACGGGTTCTGCCAGCTGCAGAAAAGATGTGGAGCACCCATTTCAGGAGACGATGCATTCATTTTTATTCCTCTGATACGTATTCCTATATGTTAGACAATTGAAAAGGCCACCGTGAGCACGTTCCACTTGTGTTGATGGGGTTGGGTAGGGATTCTCACAGGAGGGCTTCGGAAGACGAGCGTAGGGTAAATTCAGAGTAATGATAGCAGAAGAAAATAGCTTTTTACTCTGTAATTTGTTGATAAAAATTTATTTAAAATTGGGTAGCTTATATCATGAATTTATATGCATATGAAAGAGATTTTTTTTTTTCCAAAAACACAGGACAAGCCCTGACTCCTTGGGTGAAAGGAGAAGATGCGAGCCAGTGTGCTCTTTGTCTGCTTGAGTAGATCCTGAATAAGCAGCCCTTTTAATGGTTCTTAGTCACTTTATCGGCTCAGTGCAAGAGCTAGGGATGGTTGCTACTTTTAAAAAATATTCTTCTTTTAATTTTTTCCATGTGTTTCATGACACGTGACTATTATCTGACACCACGCTTCAGTGTCCCTAATGTTTTCTGGGGACTTGGCCAACCACATCTGCTTTTGTGTTCTCTGTGGCTGCCTTCACACTGCGTAGCTGCAACAGGCGTCTGCACTGCAAGGGAGGCCCTGGGATGTTTCCTAGATCGCCCTTTCCTGAAAATGCTTGCTCACCGCTGCTGGTCAAGTGTGGATGGATGCTGAGAAGTGTGGTTCAATGGGTAATCAAAGAGAGGAATTAGCCCTTGCTGGGTTAGTCAGTGGACTGGCACTGTACGGATGTGGTTGCATTCGATTTCCTGGTGGAATTTTGAAATGATTTTCTGAAAGTGGAGGAAGAGAGTTGGCTACCACAAAGAGCCAGACAGCTGCAGAGGTCCTCCTCTTGGGAATTAGGAGGAGCACACATGGGACGTGAGAAAGGTCTTACGGGACAGGAAGGAGCATGGATCTGGGTTGGGACCTGGGCTTAGAACCTCGTTCCTTCCTCTAGGCTGAGCCAGGCTGCCTCCCCTACTGAACCTGCTTCTGCTATAGTAGGGCAATCAGGAGGCCCCATGACCCGGGCTGTTTAGAGGTTATGGAAGCGATGTGTACAAGGCAGCTGGTGCAGGGCTTGGCACACAGATGGTGCTTAATAAACGGGTGGAGAGGACCAGAATTGGTTTGGTCCATAAGAGCTAGGCTTTTCTGAACAGGAGCCGAGGCCAAGCCTGTTCTAAGTTCCCCACCAAGCCACCCATGTCCCTGTCCCCATAGATGAAATGTGGGATGTGCAAGGTGCTCACCCAGTGTCACACAGCTGGTAGGGAGCAAAGCTGGAACCCTAGCCCCTGCCTTGCACCTCTGGAACTGCTGTGGCACTGGGCTCTGTGTCCATGTGGACAATTCCTGCTGTGAATGGTGGCTTCTCTCCCCCTAATTCAATATGTTATAAACGAAGAAGTCCAGGAGCTCTGTGCTGACCCTGTGGGTTTTTTTCTGTGTGAGATTCTGAAATGACTCAGTGATATGTTCTTTTATTTAGGTTTTTTTCTGTGTGTGTGTGTGTGTGTGTGTGTGCGTGCGTGTGCAGGGTCTCACTACACAGTTCGGACTCATAGTGATCCTTCTGTTTTCTGCCTCCCTAGTGCTGAGATTACAAGCCTGTGCCACCACACCCAGACTCCATTGCCCACTCAGTGTGCCCAGGGGTGGGGTGGGTGTGGCATGCAGTGCCAGGGAGGGAACCCTGGCCCCCGTGCTGACCTAAGCAAGCGCTTGGTCCACTGAGCTATCTTGCCAGCCCCTTCAGTGTTATGTCCTACTATTGCAAGCATTTGACCATTGTAGTTATAGAAGATGTCCCTTAGGGCTTCTCTATCCCACTCTGTGGCTCTTATTTCACCGGGGGCCTCTGTTTGGAGGACTTGATATCTGTGTGAAGAGTGGACTCACCTCTCCCATTCAGATTTTTTCTTACAAGTTTTCCTCTGTTAGACTAACTCTTAATCCGAGTGATGCCAGGGCCATTGCTGCGGCACCACGCCTTCCAAACGCCAGTGTCTAAATCCGGATGCCTGCTGAGCAGGGGCCTTGGACAGCTCCCACGCCAGCAGAGAGTCTCTCATAAGTGTATCTGTATTTTAAATAGCCTGTTTTGCCAAGCAATAGTCCATCTTTTTTTGTATTGGAACTTCCGCAAATTTGCTTTAAGTGTTGTGGCCCGACAAATCTAGACATCTTACTGGCTTTATATGTTAACAAGTTTCTTTTCTCAAATGCAGGGCCGGGGAGATGGCTCAGTAGGATAAGCGCTTGACTGGCAAACACAAGGATCTGAGTTCAATCCCCGGTTCCGCAAAAACAAAACAAAAACAAAACAAAAAAAAAAAAAAATCAAATGCAGATAAAAGTGTGCTCAAGATGCAAAACCAGCAAAGGAAACGCCAGGGCAATTCTTGGACTGCACACTCAGCCCTGGCTGACGGTGACGAGGAGACCCCTGGCTCTGAGATACCAGCTAGCAGTGATGATGTAATTTGAGATTGTGTTTCCCTGCAGCGCTCTGTCCTTCTGGGTGGAGACGGCGGAAGGTTTCACAACGTGGAGGAACAGAAGCGCCTGCTTGTAGTCAACGTGTCCGTGGAGGATGAGGGCCCCTACACGTGTGTGTTGACCTTCGTCCACGAGGGCAGGCGACTCAATGTCACCAGGCACATCAGTCTCATCATCCGTGGTGAGTTTCTGCCATCGAGGCACCTGCCCTTGGCTTGATGATGAACCTTCTAGGAGCAGTTAGGGCACAAAAGAGTCCTTGAATGGATTCGGCATGAAGCATAAGGGCCGTGATCTGACTAGACATGGAGAGTGGCACTTGAAAGGTGAAATCAGGGTATGGTTGGGGGAAAGTTCAGTGACTCCTTGAAAAGTGGTAGCGTCTAAGGTGGAGGCTGAAACTCACCACTAGAGGGAGCCAGAGTGGCTTTCTTGGCAGTCCTAGCCAAGGGCTGATTAGAACACAGTAGCCTTAACTCTAATACTTCTAAGGTGCTAGGACTTTATTAAATTTTCCAACGGGGAGAGTTTCCACTGGGGATTGCCTTCTTTCCTATGGGTCTGGTTCCCCCTGACATGGGTTGAACACCCCTTAGCTAGAAGGTCTGTGATGAGAAGTGTTTAAAGAGTTTGGATTTTTTTAGGTTTTCTAGTGCTTGCACATACATAATCATATAGCTTGAGGATTGGACACAAATATAAACATGAAATTAGCTCATGTTTCATGCACATCTCATGTGTATAGCCTGGAGATAATTTCATACGTTTCAAATCTGTGCATGACATAGCAGCTGGCTGATGTGACGTGTTCCACTCGCCCTACTCTGCCAGCATGCAGAAGGCTGAGCATGTTGGAGCAATGTAGAGCTCGAAATTCTGGAGCAGGGATGCTCTGCTGTGACCAGGACTGCTGAGACTTGAGCAGACTCTTGTGAGCGGGCCTGCTGCCTTCAGCCTCTTCGCCGCACTTACTCTGCACCTGCGGGGCACTGGGCCTGGGCTTGGTGCACTGGGGTGGCTCTGTAGGTGCTGCACCCTGCGGGTTTCTTGCACACAGAAAGCGAACACAGCCAGAGTCTTGGGAGGTGTTCAGAGAGCTTTGGAAGCATAGAAGATTAGATGGTGCATCTGTGAGGGGAGAAAGCCTCACAGAGAATCCAGAGATCTGGCTTCATATGAGGAGCACCACACGGTCCGTCAGACTTAGCTCACACTTTTTACATTTTTCTGTTAGAATTTGTTTCTATCCACTCTTTCTTTTTAAAATGTGCTTGGTATAGGGTCTCACTACACAGCTCTAGTGATCCTCCTGTTTTCAACCTCCCCAATGCTGGAATTACAGGCATCTGCCACCACGCAGGGACTCGGTGGCTGGCTCAGTGCTCCAGGGGGTTGGGCTGGCATGGCGTATGGTACTGGGGATCAAATACTGGTCCCTGTACTTCCCTAAGCAGGTGCTTAATGCGCTAAGCTATCTTGCTGGCCCTTTCTGCCCACTCTTGCTGCCCTGCCCAGTGGAGAAGCTTTGAGACTTTGGTCCTTGCGTGCCACACACAGACACTAGGGGGCGGCCTCTTACATCCTGAGCTAGCAGCTCAGTTGTTTCCAAAGTGGGGAACACACTGTGGGGAAGGAAGCACAGATGTGGGGTGTGGGTACCATTAGATGCAGCGTTTGAGGGCTGCCCTGGACTTGCTGAGCTGGATGCTGGGCCCAGAAGCTGCAGCCTGTGTCTCACCCATGCATACGTCCCCCTGAGGCATCGGCCTCGCAGGCCCGTGACTATCTGGCCACTCCAGCCTCCATCATGGAGGAATTGCCCTGGGGTGCAGTTGAGAGGTCCCTGCAGCTCGGCGAGCGGCAGGGTGCTGAATGCTTCCCCTCACACGAGGACCTCAGAATGCTCCTTCGGGGAGGCCTGGGTGATGAGACCGGCTGTGGGGACATCCCCAGGCTGGCTCTATCCCTGGAGCTCCCAGTCTGGGTCAGTTTACTTCCTCAGTTCCCAAGTGGCTCTCCACCCTACAGGGTCACTGTACCTGTCAAGCAGTGTGGGACTGGCCTCACATGCAATGACCCTTCAGTATTCGGTGGTGGCATTTTGGAGGGGCTGAGGGGCCTCTGGGTATGACCTGTCCCAGGAGTCCCGGGAGGGAACGGCAAGGTTTGCCACAGTAATGCGCGGCACGGGCCGCAGGGGAGCGCGCTTATGGCCTCTGCCGGGAAGCTCTCTGCTGGGAAGGGGCTGGCAGCAGGTTTCACTTTTGTGCGAGCCAGTTTCCTTCCCAGACAAAGGCGGGCTAAGGATTTCTTGGTTAATTAGCCACACAATGGCCCCTGACCAGCAGCGTGAAGTGCAGACCAGTTCTCTAATGGCCTCTCTTTCCTTGCCTTTTCCTCAGAAGTGACAGACACCGTTCCTGTGGTCATTTCTCCCCTGGACACCATATCCGCATCTCTGGGTAAGGCCTGCCAGATCGTGCGACCCGTGTGCCCCACAAGTGCCCAGACCTGGCCTTGGGCCCATGTCTGCTGACCACGCAGGCTGCCTCTGGGGCTCAGTGCGCCTGGACTGAGCCCCTTGAGCCCTGGTGTGGGGGGCTGAGATGGCATGCCGAGGGAACCTTGTCCTTGGCAGCATGTTAGAAGCGGCTTTACTCGGCAGCAAGGACACTGTGCCCCATGCAGGATGCAGTCGCTTGCGGCTGGCTGGATGCCAGGCTGAAAATGAATGGCTGGTCTCCCATTTCTTTTTTCATTTGAGATAGGGTCTTGCTGTGTAGTCCAGGCTCGCCTTGAACTCACTTTGTAACTTGGGCTGACTTTGCGTTCTCCTTGATCGCCTGGCCTCAACCTGCTGAGTGCTGAGGTTAGGGGCCTCCACAGTTACACCTGGCTAAACATTAAACGTTTTGGGGAGCCAGTGAGGAGGAGGCTTCTTACACCTGCGCTTGGCGAGCGACCCTAGAAACCAGGGCAGTGAGGAGGGTAGCTGGTGTGTCCCGGGTCCTAGTGTCCCTGCTTCTCAGAGCTCCCCTGTGGAGGCATCCCATCCCCATCAATTGCTTTGAACACACAGCTGTGCCATGGTGCTGTCACGTGACTGGATCTAATGGCTACTGTGGCTGAGGGCGGTGTGTAAGGTCACCGTGGTGCCAGAGCATGGAGGAGATGTTACGTGGCTTCTGCTGGGTGCATCTAAAGATAGAAGGGTTATTCCTGGAGGAGAAGACAGGTGGGCAGGATTTCCTCTTCTTTCCCCTCTCCTCTGCTTGGGATAGGGGGTGAGAAAGAAAAACGAGTTATTGTTGCCAGGTACATGCTGTCGTACCAGCTCTTTGGAAGGCTGAGATGGGAGCCTTGCAAGTTTGAGGCCAGCCTGGACAACATAGCAAGACCCTGCCTCAAAATAAAAGCAAAACTTCCTGTGGAGGGAGCTATTCTTAGAAAAAGCAGTGCCTTCTAAGATGGCCAATTCTGCTGGGAGTAGTGGCGCACACCCCTGGAACCCCAGCTCTTGGGAGGCAGAGGCAGGAGGATCACTGTGACTGAGAGGCCAGCCTGGGCTAGCTATGGAGTGAGTTAAGAAAAGCCTGGGCTGCTTACGGAGCCACTGTCTAAAAAAAAAAAAAAAAAAAAAAAAAAAAAAGAGAGAACAGTGATAAACAGAATGACTGACCCTAGAGGAGGAGCGACACTGTGGAGTGAGACCATCCAGGGGACGTGAATGTGAGGGCAGAGAGCAGCAAAGGGCCTGGAGGAAGGACTGCACGTCAGCCGGAGTCATTTGAGGAGCTAGGGGCTGTAAGGAAGCCAAAAGCTCTGGATTCAGGATGCTGGGGGTGGAGGGCCTTGGTGGGGCCGTTCAGCTCTGAGGACCCACTGGAGCCACTGGTGGCTCCGTGAGCAGAATAAAGTTTTCTTCTAAGAGAAGAACTGGGCAACTGGGGTTCCTGAGGGTGTGGGGTGGCCCTTGTCCAGCTGGGATTGGGGCTGATGCCCTGTCTTGCTCTGCACAGGCTCAAGGCTGACGATCCCGTGTACGGTGTCTCTGGGGGCCAGCCCGCCTGAGAGTACCATGCTGTGGTGGGGGGTGAACATGACCCTCCTAGAGAACCTTTATCCTGAGGGCCGTGTGACCGAGGGGCCACGCCGGTGAGTGTGTGTGTGTGTGTGTGTGTGTGTGTGTGTGAGACTGTTTCTCCTGGAGACACTTGTCTCCTCACCTCATCAGTGTAACATTTGATCGACAGTAATGAGCTCTTTCTTGGTTTCCAAATTGTTGGATTTTCAGAATTAAAAAAAAAAAAATAGAATTGTGTTAAAAAGTTAGCATGAAAATCAAACTTCTTTTAGATCTAGGACGTGTGATAAAAAAATTTACTGTGTGCTTAAATTTTTAAACCTGTGTCACAGTAAGAGCACACTGTCACAAGTCCCTCGCAAAGCCCTCCCTTCACTGCACACACTGGTCCCACCGTCCTTGCTCCTTTCTGCAGCAGCTCTGGAGTCCTCTTTCTTGATGGTCTTTAGTCATACGGTCCTGGCTGCCTCAGCGTCCTGGAGGCATTCCTGAGGTTTCCCTTTCACAGTCCTTTTGACTTTGGGGAGGAGCCAGAAGCCATGTGTGGCAGCCCAGGTGACCGAGGTGGGTGCAGACACGTGCTGGGTGGCACACAGCAGCAGCAGCTGCCGCCACCACATTCACCAGTTTTGGTCATACTTTGTGAAGATACAGAAGAGGCCTTCAGCGCGCTTGGGGCAGTGGCAGGCAAGATGAGCTGCGTGCATGCGAAGCACGAGGGAGGACTCTGAGGAGATCGTGGCGATGTGTCCTCTACTGAGATATGTTTTTAACATTTCAGCGTGCATCACACCTGGTCACTCCTTGTCATGAGCCGCAGCGCGCTCGCTGGTGGGTGTGGAGGCTGAATTTGTAACTGTTTAAGCATGTATTTTTCACTTTTTGCATGATTGCAAAAGCACTTTGGAGTTAGTACTTTCCTCTTCCCCTCTGTCCTCAAACATCTTCAGAAATCCTTCCGAGGATTCCGATCCTGGCCTCTGTGTCGTCTATACGTCACCTCTCTTGTTCACCTTTGCTCGGGAGCCAGGGGCTGCCCGGGCACCTAAGGGAGACTGATCAGAGAAGGAAGAAGGAATTCAGTTCTGACGAGCCCTGAGCCACAGAAAAGCTTTTCTCAGTCTAAAATTAGAATGGTCAGAGGTTGTCCGCGGGGGCTGTCGTGCCTGAGGAAGGGTGGCTGTTCAGTGTTGCGAATAGAAAGCATTTAAAAAACAATACTTTTGATACTTTGGCTGAGCCTCAGCTTCTGCTGGTCTGGTTTGAAGGACTTATGCACAGTGGACGCAGAGGGCCTGCGGCTGGCGTCATTCTGCGGGACGTGCAAAGCCTTTTTGCAAAAGACTTGGCCTCAGCTGAGCACCCCGCCGGCTGACGCATTTGTTCATTTCCTAAAGGGGCGGCTTCGCGCCCTCCCCATAAGGCAGAGCTGGCGTTGGCAGAGCCAGTCCTAGCTGACGTCCCTCCTACGAGTAGATGGCTGTGAGGGCCCGGCAGCTCGGCCAGCATCACAGCCAACAGCCTTTCCCGGGCCTTCCGGGTGAGAGGAGCCCCGGAGACAGGGAGGGCGTGCAGCTGAGGGCGGGCATCCTGGAAACCCCCTCTCGGAAATCTGAATAATCTACGAGGAGAGAGTCTAGTTTCCCCACACTAGATGTTTCTGTTCCCACGAATGGATCTTTGCTCATCAAAGGCCTTAAAACATGAAAATTTCCATCATGTAAACCAAATGAGTGTTCAGGCTCTCGCTGTAACACGAGCCTACTCCAGCGGGCTGCGTCGCCAGTGACGCTGTGACTTCAGGGCAGTGGGACATTTTCCCTAGTCGGTCACAAGCAAGAGGGCCCTGCCTTCAGACTTGAGGGAACTGGATGTCGGTGTGGGCGCAAGGGCGAGGTCTCACGGGGGCGGGGCGGGGGCTGCGGTGAGTGGCGGCCTCGCGTCTGGGCCAGCAAACCTAAGTGAGTGTTTTCTCACCCAGGGAATACTCAGTCAATGGTGAGAACTTCATTGAAGTGCCACTGAATTTCAATCCAGTCCTAAGAGAGGATTTGAACATGGATTTTAAGTGCAACATCTTTAACTCCCTGGGTTTCCAGACACTGCATACCACAGTCAAAGAAGGTACGTAGCCGGTGGTCCCTGGAAGCAGTCCTCCCGGGGTTTGCAGATTCTTGATCTTTTTTGGTAAGATAGAGATGGAGCGCTGGGAAGTTAGACTCCAATAAAAAATTGCAAGCTGACCTTTGGAAACGTATAAAGTGGGCCTGCAGTGACCTTTTCAACAGCCTCTGCCCTTTCACAGTGCTGGCTTGGATCACGAGGAGTAGCTGGCCCTGTGTGTGTGGCCCTGGAAGAGGTTAAAAGCCTCTTTCTTCTGGGTCAGCTGTGGCTGATACCCCTCGGTGGCACTGAGGTTCCACCGGGATCTAGAAGCACAGGCAGAGGGCTGCTCAGAAAACTGCAGTCTCCTCGCTGTCTAATCCCTGTAGAGTTGTACACTGTAAGGTCCCCGGGAAGTATGCTGAAACCCTGGGCAGGCAGTGGTACATCGTGGCTAACCCTAACCCTTGGCACTGCCCCTCTTCGCCACACCTGGCACAGGTGTCCTCACGTGCTGTTTGATGCCTGCTCTCTGGGAGTCAGTGCACATTTATTGGGCAAGACAGAACCGGTTCCTCTCCTCTCCGGAAGCCTGCATGGCCTGGTCCTGCTTGCAGCGAGCCCTGCTCACACACTGATGGGCCTCTGTCCTCTCCACAGCCCCTGCCACCTTCTCCTGGGGAGTCGCCCTGGCCCCTCTGTCGCTGGTCCTCTTGGCCTTGGGGGGCCTTTGTCTGCACAGGCACTGGAAACGCAGACCTGGAAAAACATACCGCCTGACCACGCTCAAGACCGGCCTCTGAGACTTCCACACTATCCCAGAGAAATAAAGGCGATGACAGGGTGTGAACCCGATCCCTTCCGCATGGAGGGGGCCGCGCTTTTCTCACGGGCTCTGGCATTTCTCCTTGTTTAACAAAACCCTGGTGTTTGCCGCTGAGATTGACAGCCTTTAATTTTATTTTATTTTTCCCCCAAATCAGTGATGGGGCAGATGTGCACGGTGGGTAGGAGCAGCTCTCTGTACCTGTGACCTATTTAAAAGAGCAAATGAGGGGCCCTCAGGCCTCAGTAAGAGTGGAAACCACCACAGCGGTTTTGAAACTCATCCATTCACTTAGCAAAAAAAACACACTGAAAGTCGATAGGGCCAGGCTGTGTGGGAAAACCGAGAGCCGCAGATGGTTAGGCCGAAGTTTGCCTTTCAGGAAAGAGAGAGTCCGTTATGATTCTGGAAAAGATGAGTTAGCAATGAGAAAGCAGGTGAATCACCAGGAATCGGTGAATCTTTTTGGAAAGATGGTACCAGAATCAGCAGCCGAAGTAGTTAGGCAGCCAGCCCGAGCTTCGTGACACTTCTGACAATGAAGGGCCAAAGGGCATTGTGATAACTGTACACGGCTGGAAGAGTATGACCGGCCCCTTTCCCATCATATGCCAAAAGAATTCCAGGGGGATTGATGCAAACGAAATGGGGTGGGAGAAATCCTCCTGAGGGTCGATACGTCGGTAGGCCTGGATCTTGGTAGAGAGAGATTTCCAAGCCCTGGTTTGGCCCGAGGAAGCTGGGCTCCATCCCTGAACTTCCCCTTTGTGTTCCCATATTGCTTCCTCTTCCTTTTCTCTCTGGATTTATAAATGTTTGAGGATGGAGAAGTAGGAAGAGGAGGCAGAACCTTGGGGTGCCTCGCACAGATCGAACTCATGAAAAGAGGGAGAGTGGGTGGAGGGGGAAGAGGAGGAAGGGTCAGATGAGGACATATAATGGCCAGAGATGCCTGGGTCCTCTGTGCCCGGAAACTGGGTGAGGTCTCACACCTGTGGAGCCTGGCAGCCTCAGCAGTGATCCGGGCTGCAGCCCAAGGGCCCTCAGGGACCTCCCAGACAACACCTTGACTGCAGGGTACAACACAGTCTTCCCATCCTCTGGCCTAGCATGGACCACATGGTAGGGAGCGTATGTGATACTTGGGAAATTTGGGGGGTTGGATTTAGGGCTGTGTTAAGGAATAAGTATGATATTGGGGTGGATACATTTAAAAACAAAGAAGAGTTGTTATCCTCTTAAGAGGTATACTGGATTACTTAAGGGCCAAGATCTGAGATTTGCTTGGAAATTACCCAGAGGGGGGAGGATGGGGGTTGGGGTGGGGGAGAAGCAGTGAAGGGAGATTGGCTCCATGTTGCTAATTGTGGGCGTGGATGGTGTCCACTGCGGGCTGCCCCTGCAGCTCCTCCCCTTCTGTCTAGGTCTGGAAATTTCCAAAGCAAAGCGTAAAAATGCAGTATAGGAACATCCCAAAGAACCCGAGGCAAGAGGGCGAGTGTGTGAACAGCAAGACGCGCTGCTGTCCTAGATAAGCCACGCAATAATAAAACGAATCTGAGAAAATATTATTGCGTAAAGAAGTTCTGGAAATGTTCATTTGTACCATTGTGCCCTTTTATATAAAGTAAAAAAAAAGCTGTAAACACTCTTACTGTCTCTGTCTACACACACACACACATACACACACACACACACACACTCTCTGTAAAAATACAGTTTTCTTATATCCATGCTCCTAAGTAGAAGTGTATGTTCAGGGGTTCTGGGTGGCGACCCTTAGGGTGCCAAGTGAGGGACAAGTGTGGAAATGGGGTAGAAACATGCAAATTTATTAAGTCCTAGATCTCATTTTGGGTAGTAAGTTGTTGCTGCTTTATGTCATATCTCGTATAAAAACGAGACCCCATGGCCAGTGAAAAGTGCACACTAGCCGGCAGGACTGTGGCTAGCCTGGTTGTGCTCTTGAGTCCAAACTAAACTCACATAGAACGAGCGAAGTGGGCCGGCTCCTTATGCTGATGTGGCGAGTGCTTGTGTCCTAGGTGGATTTCACTGTTTTAACGTTCGGGAGGACGGTTCTTTTTCATAGCACCTCTACGAAACACCGAGAGGACTGGTAGATGACGTTCAGAAATCTCACACTTCCGTGAACCATTTATAAGGGGAAACGAAAGACAGGCTAAGAAATGCATGCGCTATGATGCCACCTCCCGAAGAACCGGAGGCAACCGTGGACACCAGCCCCGGGCACCAAGGTGACGCACGCCTTGCGAGGTGAATCTGATGTCTCTGGCGTTTGAGGTGTGGCGGGACTGCACGGCCCCTGGAAGGTCAGCTGGGCCACGTTTCTACCCCTGGCACGGGCCTGGCCGCCCAGTGAGCATTTATTTAGCCCGTGTCTCCTGATGGATAAACTGCTCTGGAGTCTCCCCGCCAGCCTGCATAAACGGGATCCTGGAACGGGGCTTGGCCAGGCTTGCCTGCCAGCCCCTGCCCTCAGACCCCTGCTGGCTTCCACCATCACCTCCTGCCAAGGGCTGCCTTGGACACAAAGATGCTCTTTGTGCTTCTGTGGTTGCTTCCCTGCCCTGCGGGCCCCGCCCTGGGCGTGTGTGCACCAGGGCTACTCATTACTGTCCATAGTCACCCAACGGAGGACACTGTACCCGTGTGTCCTGTGGGCAAGCTGTCCACTGCCACCTGGGCTGCAGCTCCTGCCCCTGTGGTGCCACTGCTCCCTGTGCACTCTCAGGAGCCCCTTCCAAGCTCAAGGGGCCACCAGGCTCCAAAGCAGTGGTTGGGTGCCGCCCTCCCCCAGGGATCAGCGCCAAGCTCTGCTGCCTCCTCACCCGCCTGCCTGCAGAGCTCACTTTCTCTGCGTCTTCAGGTGAAGCAAAGCCGAGCGAAGTGTCCCGTACAGGACCTTCTGGAGCTTCTGCGTCCGCAGCTTCCCCAAGCCCAGGCCTGTGCTTCCTGGGAGAGGCCACCGCCTGGAGCTGGAGCAGCTGAGAGAGAACGCAGCAGACCCAGTCGAGGGGCAGCTGGAAAGCAAGAATGTAAGGAAATGCAATTTGAAAGAGTCCCCAGAGTGCGAGAGCTTGCGTGCGGGGTCCCGTGTGCTCCTCAGAAGCAGTCTACTGGGCATGTGTCATAGCCCACCTTAGAGGACAGGGAGCTGAGGCTTGGTTTATGATCACAGCAGACACAGTGGCTTAGCTTGCTAACACTGAATCCCAAGATGGGAGCCCAGCTGGAGCACAGCTGATGTGGATCGAGGTTACAGCAGGAAGGAGCAGAATAAACATTGACTGTGTCAGAGGTGGCCCGGCTACCAGGAGGAGTGGGGAAGAGCTGAGCCTACCACCTGCGCCCTCTGCCAAACTCACCGGAAGTGGCTCTAACAAGGAAAGGGCCCCACAGCAGCATCAGAAATGGAAAGGAGGGTCCCTCTTCCTGCAGGCATTTTGCAGTCGTATGCTCTTAAGCCTTGGGGCTCCCCACCAGCTTCTGGGCACTGGGGGTGTTGGCCATCTCCCAATAGCCTATGTGACCTTGACCTTGGGCAGTTTGCTTTCCTGGGCGGGCTTTTCCCCAAGCCTGTGTGTGACCATGTGATTTAGTCCCTAGGGTGCTTGGAAGTGCTCACAGACAGGACAGGATGTGAGCTAGTAGCTTCAAGTCCCTGTTGTCCTCGAAGCTGGTCATTTACCTCTATTTCTTTTCCCACATTGCTGTTGCAGAAAGTAATTTTATTTTTGCCCAGGTATGTCCCCCCACAGGGCGGGAGATAAGTGACACTCAAAAGACAGCACTGCCCTGACAGATCCCAAGGTGGGTGGCTCCGGCTATGTAGTGGGGACCTAGGGGCGCCCCAGGGCTGTTCTGGAGGCAGAGGAGCTGGGAAGGCCTGGTATCTGCAGGAGGAGAGGCGAGGTGGGGACGGGTGCAGGTCTGGCTGGAGTAACTTAGGGGCTCTGGCTAAGTGTGGGGCATCTCCAGCGTGGCTGGGAGCAGTGACCAGAGTGTGAAATCTTCAGAAAGAGGAGGCGGAGGAGTAGACCCGGGGCCACTGGCCTGCACTGGGAGAGCTCCCTCTCTGGTAACTTGTTTGACATGGGGAAGAAGTTCTGCAAGGTATTTATGTGGTTGCACACTTGGGGCAGCACAGTGGATGCGTTCCCAGGACGTCTTTCTTTTTAAGAAGAATAAAGCGCATCTTATTAAACACAGTAGAGTGGCAGCCAGAAAGCTTTCTAAGTATCAGCAGCAAAATTTATCATTACATAGACATGTTGCCTGGTGTATATAGCCTTGGAAATATACAAAGTGATGTAAATAAAGCTTTAAAAATTGAAATTGACTTATATGTCCCTCAGCAGATGAATGAAAAAGAAAATATGACATTTCCACACAGTGGAATACTACTGTGTCATAAAGAAGGATCAACTTGGGTCCTCTGTGGAGAGATGGCTATACCTGGAGGACATAACATTAAGGGGTGTTACTCTGACACAAGAGCTTCAGTGCTGCATGGTTTCTCTTATGTGAGAAATCCAGATCTAAGTAAGGAGCAAAATAAAAGATGGATGACAGGAAGTAGAAAGGCAGGTTTCTCAGATGGAGAAGGGAAGGAGATGAAAGGAGCAACAAAGAGGTGTTATGCACCCGCGCCAGCTCCACACAAGAGGTGAAATCCTTCATGCTGCAAACTCATACTCAAAAATATCAAGTTTAAAAAGATGAAATAAAAATGTGGAAATCAAGGCTCCTGTTGCCACTTTCTGAGTTCTGGCAGGAGGCCATAGCTGTCCGGGGGCTTGGGCTTCTGCGGGGAACGCCGAGGCTCCTTGCGCCCAGGACACTGAATCGGCCTCTCACATCCACCTTTGAAGAGTCCCAGGCTCTAACACAAGACTTAGTGCAGCCCTGGAGCCACCGCACTACTTTAAAGCAATAAGTCCCTGGTCCTAGAGCAGATGCTCTGGGCACACGTCACATTCAGGACCCTGTTTTGAGTGTGAACAGTGACAACAGCAGAGCCTCGTGGGGGAGGGGAGAGGTAGTGCAAGGAGGAGGGTAGCCTGTCTGCTGGTTCTCCATGTGCGAGTCCAGAGTTTGGGGACCTCAGGCACCCACTGCAATGACCCGGGGTCTGGAGCTCCACACGCCCTCCCACTCAGGGTCTTGCTCAGAGACTGAGTGCTGTACTGTCTGAGGTCTCTCTCCAGTGCGTGGCCTGGGATTAACAGCTCTGTGTGGTCAGTTGTCCCAACTGGGGTTAGTGGCTTGAGAGAGGCCAGGGAGATCAGCACGGCACACTTGTGGGAGCGTCTGGGGAGTGACCAGTAGCCGCTGGCCACTTCTTCTTGGGCTCCCCCCCCAACTCTCTGCTTCCTGAATGCCACTGGACGGCAGCTGTCCTTCCCTATCCCTTCTGTCGTGGTGTTTCTGCCTTGCACCAGCACACCATAGACTGAGTCCTCTGAAACGGTGAGCCTGAATCAGCCCCTTTTCTTCAAATTGTATACATCTGGTATTTGTCCCGGCAACACGAGAGCTGGCCAGTGCTGCCACGTTGACCCATCCTGGAGAGATGTCACTCATTCCTCCACCCAGCATATGAGGCCCCGTGCTTTCTTGAATAATGCACACTACTCAGAGGAGCCCTGGTCTCCCAGGCGCTAAGCTTTCGAGGGTTCTTGCCCCTAGCATCCTTGAAACTTATCCTCATGCTTTCTCCTGTGTGCTCACGTCTCGGCTCCTGCCTGGCGACATAGCTTTGCCATTTTCTGTTGCCAGGCAGACAGTGACCACGGTTCCCTGCTGTGGAGTGCTCTGTCGCCTTTCCAGGGGATGAGCTCGTTCCCCCGCGCACTGGGGCTGCGTGATCGCTCTTAGCGTGTTGCCCGGCGTGTGCTGAGGAAGTGAAGCAAAGGTGACGGCATCTCCCCCAAATCTCTGGAGATGACTCCTGCAGACCTCGGCTTAAGGCTCTGTTGGGAGCTCCGGGCCACCTGCGGATTTGGAGCAAGCTCAGAGCTTTCCCAGTCCTCTCTGGCTGGCTTTGCGATGTGTTCTGTTCCCTGGGCTCCAAGTTTCCTGTTTTAAAAGGTCTGAAGGAAAGCCACAGTTGGGCACAGAATCCATGCTGAGCTCTGATTTGAGGCAAGCCTGTGATAAATCCTTTAAGACGCTAATGAAAATATTTTTGGAATAAAATCCTTTGGAGGTCTGGTCAAAGGCTAAGAACACTGCTTTCAGTAAACACTTGTCCTGTCTTTCTGAGTCAGCTTATGGTCAGTGGTGTCCATCCTGAGGAAATTCAGGGTACTTATCTTCAAAGTCTGGGTGGATTTCAGACATCCTTGGACATAAAGGATACCGATAAGACATCTTGTGGACAGCTGGTGCTTTGGTTGATAGAACTATTTCTTCCTCTTCTTTAGTTAACTCTTTTTTAAAAAATTTTATTTTATTTTATTTATGTGTGTGTGTGTGTGTGTGTGTGTGTGTGTGTGTGTGGCCAGCTCAGCCCACCAGGGGGCGGGGCTGGCTGGCTGGGGTGCTGGGGGATTGAACCGCAGTCCATGTGCTTTGCTAAGCTTGTTCTAAGTAGGTGTTTTAGACCACTGAGCCATCTCACCCG